TTGTCAAAAATAATAAAGCTAGCAAGTAGTGGAGGTTAGCAGCTAGGTGTGATATCAACAGTGGCAGGCCGCCCAGCATCTTAATGGGGACGTGAGAAAAAGGGACAGAGAGTCGGCGAAGACTGTGGTCATCCCTGGTGATCAGGAGACCGCGTGCGTGTGCCAGGCTGCACCCCTGAGGGGTGACGGCAGAGGGTGTACTGAACTAGTCCAGCCAAGTCACTGGACACGTAAATAAGCAAATAAGCCGACAACAACAATCCTCTGAGCAAGGAGGATAGCAGTATTCAGAGTTGTTATGTTATTTTAAATGATCTGTTTTCAAAACAACAGAAAAATGTGACCCACACACAAGGAAAGAAAGAGGCAGCCTCTGAGGAGGCCCAAATGTTAGCAAAGACTTGAAAGCAGCTATTACAATATGTTCAAAGAACTAAAGGAAACCGTGTTTAAAGAATGAAAGGAAATTATGATGACAATATTCCACCAGGCAGAGAATATCAATAAAGAGACAGGAATGATTTTAAAATAACCAAATGAGAAGTTCTGGGGTTGCAAAATACAATAACTGAAATGAAAAATTCAGTAGAGGGGCTCAGCAGTAGATTGAAGCTGGCAGAAGAGAGAATCAGTGCACTTGTAGATTGATGGAGATTATGCAATCTGAAAAATAAAGAGAAAAAAAGAATAAAAAAAAGAGCACCGGATCAATGTGAGACAGCACCGAGTGCATTAACATATGTGTAAGGAGGGTGCCAGGGTAAGAAGAGAAAGAAAGAAGCAGAAAAAAATATTGGAAGTAATAATGACTTAAAGAACTCCCCAAATTTGATAAAATAACCTATATACCCAACAAGCTCAATAAACTACACTTAAGAGAAATGGAACAAAATCCACAGCTAGACACACTATCATCAACATTTTAAAAGAACAAAGACCACAAGAAGCTCTTGAAACCAACAAAAGAAAGAAAAAAAAAAAGTGGACAAAAGGCCATTCAAAGTGATGAAAGAAAACTGTCAACCAAGAAACTTTTTTTTTTTCCCATCAAGGCCAAGAACCTTATACTCAGCAAAACTACTTTGAAAAATAAAGGCAAATAAAGATATTCTGAGATAAAAATAGGAAAACTCACTGCTAGCAGACCTGCCTTATAAGAAATACTAAAGGAAGATTGTCAGGTTGAAAGCAAGTGACACCAGGCAGTAATTCAAATCCACATGAAGAAACAAAATGTACCAACAAAGGTAATTACATAGGTAATTATAAAAGATAGTATAATTGCATATTTCTTTCTTCACTTGTCTAATTTAAAAAGCAACTGAATAAAACAACAGGTACCTAATTGTATTGTTAGGCCTATAACATATAGAAACGTAACATATTTAACCATAACAGCACAGAGGAGGCAGCAGGAAGGAAATGATGCCCGGTGGTAGCTTGAATCCACGGGGAGCAAGGAAGAGGGTCAGCATCCGAAACAGTCCATCGGAAGGGCAAAATGGAAAACTCCAAATGTATACTTGTTCTCCTTCTCTCCACTTCTTTAAAAGACATACAATTCTGAACAGTGGTAACTATGAAAAGGAATTCTTGAGTTTGTAATGTATAGACATGTTTAATAATAGCACAAAAGGGGAGGACAGAATAGAGCTGTATAGGTATAAAACTCCTACATGTCACTGAAATTTAGTATAAATCTGAAGTAACAAAATGCTGAAAGAAATACAGTAAAAACAAAACCAAGGGGATTAACGTGGTTTGCTAGAAAATGTCCACAAAAAAGAAGACAGTAATGGAAAAATAAAGAAACAGATATGAGACAGAAGGCAAATATCAAATGGCAGATGTAAATTCTAGCTTAGTTGTAATTACATTAAATGTGAAGAGATGAAACAAGTTAGTCAAAAGGTAGAGATGGGCAGAATGAATAAAATAACATGATCCAACTATATACTGTCTACAAGAGACATATTTTAGATTCAAAGATTCAAATAGGTTGAAACTAGAAGGATGGAAATGATACACCATGTAAACAGTAACCAAAAGAGAACTGAGTGGTAACACTAACATCAGACAAAATAGACCTTAAGATAAAAATTGTTACTGGAGACAAAGAGGGACGTGCTATACTGCGAAAAGAGTCAATCCATCAAGACGATATAACAATTAAAATATATATGCACCTAAAAACAGAGCCCAAAACATAAGAAACCGAAGGTGACAGAACTGAAGCGAGAAGTGGATAATTCAACAACAAAAGCTGAAGAGAGAAATACATTAACAGATGGCAGAGGATCAAAAATATAGAAGACTTAACACTATAAATCAACTAGACCTAACAGACACATAGAGAACACGCCGCACAACAACGTCAGAATAACGCATTCTTTTCAAATGGATTTGGAACAGTTTTCCAGCATAGACCATATGCTGGGCCATAAAGCGAGACTTGGTAAATTGAAAAGGATTTAAAATATACAAAGTATGTTCTCTGACCACATGGAATAAAGTTAAAAATCAATAACAGAAGAAAATTTGGAAAATTCACAAGTATGAAGATATTAAAACACACTCCTAAATAACCAATATGTCAAATGGTTTAGTTGTGTGGCATGTGAATTACATCTCAATCCAGCTGTTTAAAAAATGTGGATCAAAGTAAACATTTCCATCCGAGCTGGCGCTTCCAGGAGGATGCAAGTCATCCAGGTCCCTCTGGTGGGACCCCATGCATATTTAGTGCCTGCAAATCTCCCAAATTCATAAGGTTCAGAGTCGAGACCTAGCAAAGAGCTCTGGAAAAAAGATGAGTCTTGTTTCTCTACCTGAGAACCTAGGAGCAGACAGAGAACCCAGGCACGGGAGTCCTTAGGCTGAACTCCACAGGGCCTTAGCGGGTGGCTACCAGAAAGCCCGGCTTTCTCACCTGTTATATAAATCCTTACAGGATTGTGTGTGGATTCCATGTGCCTCTCCCCTCCTCGCCTCCCCTTCTCCCTTCTCGCTTCCCTGCCCCGTCACCCCTCCCGCCCCCTTCCGTCTCTGTGCGTGTGCTTGTATGTAGGTGTACATATATGTGTGCATGAGTGCCCCTGTGCACATGCGTAGCTCCGTGCCAGCGTGTACTTAATAATCCTCCATAACGATTAGCTGAATTTGAATCTCAAAACACCCCACATGTGAGAGGAGAAGCAACCAGCTGCTACCCGGTAACCATTCTGAGAATTTTTTACAAATAAATACTTCAGAATTCAGGAATCCAATTCTGTCTACTCTGGGAATGGCCACCGACCCCCTGGTGGGGGCTGAGGGAGATAGTGGTGGTGATGCGGGGTGTCAGCTAGGCCCTGGAGACACAGGCTGGATGACGGGGAGCCTCGCCCTAGTTGGTGGGGCTGGTGTGAGCACCTCCAAGAGTGTGCCTGGCCCATGTAGGCGCTCGACTAGCGCTCAGCACACACCGAAGTGTGAACAGTTCAACCCGCCTATGAACCAGCGCTGAGACTGTCATCCCGGCGCCAGCACTCTGAGGGCAGCAGGTGGTGAGTCTAACTGCTGACACAGAGCGTCTGCGGGAGCGCAGCCCCTGTCCTGCCTCTGAGGTGTGTTGGGTGCTAACTGCTAGAACAAGGCTGCTGTTTCTTTATCACAAAACGGCGGGTCAGTTTTGCAGGATTTCACATGACAGCCCCTCGATTTCAGACTAATGTACCTCCCGGAACATCCGCAGTGCTGTTCATAGCTTTCACCAGGCCCGGGGCTACGGCCCAGATGGGGACCCCGGCCTTTGTCAACATAAACAGAAGCACCTGCTGTCCCGCCTCCCTGGGAGTTCTTATACAAACCACAATTTACAAGAAGCCATTTTATTGAGCCTCAGGGCTCAATAAGCCTGAATTCAGGTCAAAATGAAGGTGAGACTTTTTTTAGATTAAATATTGATTTAGAGAATAAGTGCCTAGAGGTGGGGTACGCCTACATGTCCAGCAAACGGCTTGGTGACTTTCCCCCCTCCCAAGCTTGGCACGTCTGAAATGCAGCAGCTCAGGTCTGACCCCAGGGAACCACCTCTCTAGCTGCTGTTTCAGCCGGTTTCGGTCGGGGATGTAAGGCCCTGAGACAGCCCGCTGTGGGGAAAGGCACTTCCTGGGTGGGGGTGCCGATCCCCTTCTCGGAGCCCCCACGGGACCTGCTGAGCTCTGTAAGCTGATGCCCAGACACAACGGCGGCCTGAGGTAGCAAGCTCATGGGTCGCAGGCGGGGGTCGTGGTGGAAGCTGGCCCTCCCTCGGGACGAGGCCTCCCGGGCTAGCTGCTCAGTGAGGACAGGCCACGTCTGCCGGGGGAGCTCGCCTGACCCTGTTATGTGACCCAGAGCTGCTGTGACAAAACCCCCCTTTTCAATAGCAGGAGGCTGGCACGAGAAAAAGCAGATGTGGGGGAGCGGGGAGGGGGCCCCACTTTCTGTCAGTCTTGCAGGCTCAGGCCCTCTGCCTCTCCAACTGGGGTCCAGAGGCCACCAAGCTCGGTGGTCACCTCCAGGACACGTTAGGTTTATTTCTGAGAGCAAACGGAACGCGAATGGCCTTCAGATCAGAAGTGACTTTGGGTGTGTTGCCGAGCTATGAGCTGGCCCAGGACCAGTGACTGCCAGGCCTAGGGAGGTCAGCACGTGGGAAACGCACGGCCCGCGGGGCGCACAGTCAACATCTAGCTCATTCTGCAGCCCCCCTCTCGAGGGGGCCGCCTCGGTTTCTCCCTCTTGCCCAGGAGCCCGGGATGTAGGCAGCGACCTGCTGACAAGTGGGAGCAACCCCAAGCTCCCGCTCCGCTCAAGGCTAACGGGCTGAAGGGGCTGTGGGTCTGAGCTCGGCGCTTCTCGTAGCTTCCTCGTCTATACATGGAGCCACGTGTCATTGTGAGACTCCAATGAGGCCACGTATGTGGCCTTGGGAGAGCAGGGGCTCGTGGCGGCTGCGGGACGGCGCAGGCACTGACCTCGGATTCCGTGGCGTCAGCCGACTTGTCCTGGAGGCTCACGCTCTCGGTCAGCACAGCGCCGTTGTACTTGCTGCAGATGTCGTCGTCAGAGTAGTGCAGGCCACCAGGGCTGGGCCGGGGCGGGGACCTGGGCCAGGACAGCGACCTGCTCAGGGCAGCCTGGGCCAAAGGCACCTGCCCCCAGGCGTCCTGACCGGCCCTCCCGCCTTCGTCAGGACTGAGTGAGAGGAAACCCACAGCCTCTGACAGCATTTTGGCACCAATGCCCCAATCGCCAGCCCGCCGCAGGTTAACGTGACACCACGTGAAGCAGGACTTCCTCAAGGCCGGTGCTCAGGTGATGGGAGGCCAGCGTGGGGCTGGGGGGTCTGCCCAGGTCACCTCCCTGCACACCTGCGGCCTGCCATCTGGGCATCTTGAGGGATCTTTCACAGCCGGCCCTTCCCGCCATCCTGGACTTAATGCTGCCCTGTTGGGGTTGGGTGGGGACCCGTGGGCGAGGGGACATTTGTGGCTGGCACCCAGTACCCAGGGCAGATGCGGCACGTGGGGTTGTAGCTGCTGTGTCCCCTACCTGGTACCGTTCTTCTTCGAGAAGGTGTTCTTGACGTTGAGGTGGCGGCTGTTAAGCTCCAAGCCGGCAAAGCCTCCGTTGTCCAGGGTCACGGACTCCTCCATGTTGGAGATGTTTTTACCTAAAATTCGGCCAGGAAAACAAGCACAGACGTCTTAGTAGAGTGCCCGCCACAGAAGGGCGAAACCCAGGGCCGGCGGACAGTGGGAGTCGAGCTGGGCAGAAAAGCTGTGTTAATGATATGTTAATGCCAACGCTGGAGCAAAATGACAATATTAGCATTTCCGTGTTTATTCGGACTGACACCAAAATACCAGTATTCTTCTCAGTCTTTGATTAAAAGCACTCCGATGCATACTTTTTTTCTAAATTGGGGAAATTAAATATTTAATAAATTTCAAAACAACTCCTCATACTCATATAACTGAACAGTAAATAGAAAGTAAATGAATGAGGGGTGACAGCCAAAGGGCACAGGGTTTCTTTCTGGAAAATGTTCTCAAACTGAGTGTGGGGATGATGACATAACGTCCACGCACTGAAGGCCACTTTTTAAAAAGCTGACAAATGCCTATGAAATTACATGCTAAGATGTATCTGCAGAGCAAATGAAGAGCAGTAACGTTGTAAGAAGCCAAAGGACGTAGCGCTTCCGATGGGTTCCCTCATCCTCGGCGTGACAGCCAGGTCCTCCGGCTGTCCCTCTGCTTCCGCTGGTCTGCCCCTGCCCCCGCATATCCCTCACCCCCTTCCTGCAGCTCAAATGTCAGGAGATGGGAGGGAGCTTTCCGGACCCCCAGAAGACGAGCCTCCCCGTCTCTCCTGCTCACCCAGAGCCTTCGCCCTGTGTGGTACCGCGTGGGGCTCGCCCCCTGCTGCATTGTTCGCGCATTCACATTTGCTTGCTTCTCACCATCGGCCTTCTGTCCCCTCACTGGACTGTAAGCTCTGTGAGCTAAACTAAAGTCCCAAGAGCTCCCTGACTTTATCTGTTTGGCTCCCGCGGTGGTGGCCTCCAGGACAGTGCCTGAGCACATGTCAGGGTTCCACGCTGCTTGCTCAGTTCACCCCCATTTCTAAGCCCCAAGGGTCCCCTCTGCAGAGTCCTCGCAGCCCTTGACACGCCTTAATGCTCTATTTGTGTGCAACCAAAAAAGCCAATGAGCAGAGCAGCAAATGGAAGATGAAGTGGCTGGCGAGGGGGGATCTGGGTGGATGGGAGGTGAGCGTGTGAAAACCATGATCAGAAAGGAGTCCGACAGGCCAGGCGTGGGGAGGCGAGCAGGAGGGTGCAGATGAGGCCGTGGCGGCAACGCCTCAGGTGCAGATGTGCCCTGGGCAGGAAGGCAGGCGTTCTGGGAGACAAGTATTTTTTCCTAGGCTTCAATGACGATGGTAAATTAATACTCCGGGTGAGGCTGAGGGTCAGGAAAGCGGGCGGGTTTTCCATGCGCAGACGTAGGGCTCTTGTAATAGCACGAAGTCGGTGAAATGACATGCCATTCATACACCATAAGTCCCACAGGAATAAAATCTGATTTAGGAACACTTGTTAGAAGTGAATTTACACAGAAAAAAATAAATCCTTTCTTGGAGGGATGAATTGCTTTAAGTTGCAAAAGCAAATGGCCAGGCGCTTTGGGTGCATGGTTTCATTAGCCCTTTTGGGACAATGACGGTGGTGCTGGTGGCTGGGGTGGGGTCTGCTAGGCCCCCTTCTTGGCCCAGAGGGCTAGTGTGGCAGCTCCAGCACAGGCTACCTCCTCAGGTGACCTCCTCCTAAGAGGAAAGGCAGCCGAGCTGATGAGAAGGGGCGGGAGCCGGCCTCAGCCAGGGCCTGTCCCTGCTGAGGGTCCCAGAGGACTGACTGCCCACACTCCCGGTGGCCCCAGCGGCCCGGCTCCAGCGGTGCAGGCTAAGAGCAGGCCATGCTCCAGAGCTCGCTGTATTCTGGTTATATGAAGAAGTCATCTACTGGCAATTACGAGAATGTTTTTAAAAGTTGAGGATAATGACATGCATAAAGCGTACTGATCTTGGGCGCCCGGGGTTACCGGCATAACTGCCCTTGTCATGGAGGGGGAGTGTTTCCCGCACCCGGAAGGCTCCCTCAGGTACCTGCTCTGTTTGTGCTTCTCCCCCGAGAAGCAACGCTGTCCTGCCTGCCGATCAGAAACACCCGCCCTGACCTTCCTATACACGGAGTCCTTCCGTGGAGCTCCTCTGTGGCCGGCCAGCCACGCCCATGTCCTTTTGGCCCTTTCTCTAATGACGGTGATTCATCCAGCAACAAACACTCACTGGGCGCCAGGTGTGGGGCTTGTGCTGGGACCCGGGGTGGCCGGGCCCTCAGAGGGCTCCGAGCCAGACGTGGGGCACCAGGCGAGGCGCAAACTCCCAGCGAGCCGGGCTGCGTCCTCCGTTCCTGCGACTCCATGAGCCACACCTAACTCTCTGCCAAGTGCTGGCCCGCTGTTCTCACGCTACCGAGCAGGACGTCACTTTACCCCTTTAATGCTCTACACTTTCTAATCATATTTGAAAGCGCTAGTGCATCTGAGTAATGTTGCAGGTGAGGAAATTGAGGCTCAGGGGCCCGAGGGCCCAAACGACGCACCCACTACACGTGGCTAATGTGAGGGCAGAGCCAGGCGTGTCGGGAGCCCCCGTTTGTCTATGCCTGGCTGCCTCCAGAGACACGCCTGTTGCACCTGTTTTGTCACCTACAGGAAGCAAAATGAACAAGTGGATGTGGGCACGGCAGGTCTGGGAGAGGGGACACACTAAGTGTGGGAGCTCGGGTGCCCGGGGCACGCTCAGAAGTGGGGGAACGAGGCAGGCGGCCCACCTGTGCCGCAGTTCTTGTATTTCTTGCTCTGCCCGTGCAGGACCAGGGTAAACGCCACCAGCAGGAGGACGATCAGGCTGGAGAGCGCCACCACCAGCAGGAACCACCACTCCTCGTAGAACGGGGTGTCCACTTGAGCTGAGGGCAGACACAAACGCACAGAGACAGTTGGCAGAAAGCGCCCATGGACCGGGCCGGGGTAAGGATATGGGGGGGCCCGAGTCACAGGGAAGGTGACTGCGGCTGGGTGGCCTCAGAAGGAATCAGGTGGCAGCAGTTTTCCACCTTTTCTGTGGGAACCAGGCTCAGGGCTCCTCTGGCCCCCATGAGGCCCGCTACTCCGGAGGCCTGTCTATCCCAGAGTTTCCTGACCTTGTCCATCGAAACTACCTGCACGCTTGTTTCTCTTAACTTCATCTGCTTACAAATGCTGTCCGGGTTAAAGGGAGGAAGGGACAGAAGTGTCTGATGTCCCCCTCTCTCCAAGTGCCAGGCCTCCCTCTGAGTGTCCCCCTCCCCCCATCACCACGGCCACCTGCCCGAGGCCCTGTTACCTCCTGGTGGCCAACACAGCCACTTTCCCATTCAAATCAATTCTTCACATTGCCACCAGAGAGCTTTCTCAGCAGGAAATGAGAAAAGCCTTCAGGGCCCCACACTAACTATGGGGGGCCGCCTCAGCCCAGGAGGCCCCCCGATCTGACTCCTGCTCGCGCCCACCTGGATCCCGCCCACACCTGCATGGAAACCTCTGGTTGCCGCACCCGCTGGGTGCGTCTGCTGGCTCTGGCGTCCTCAGGCCCCTACAAGCGGGCTGTGATTTATTTATTTTGTGCCTCAGCGGAACTGAGAGGAACAACTGGCCCCATTCTTAGATGTGCTTTTTGATAAATGAAAAGGTTTCATTTAAAAATTGCTTTAAAGAAGGATATGCTTCTTCTCATGTTTTATTCTGTTTACTAAGAGCAGAAAAATGGAAATTGTTTCCTGCAAGGTGCCAGATGGCCCTGGGGCCCCACGCAGCACTTCCCAAATGCCTCTTGCCCGGGAGCTGGCTTTGAGACCGGACGCCAGGATGAGCAGCAAGCCTGTCGCAGGGGAGGCCCAAGGCCACCGCCACAGAAAGCACGTCTGCCTGACACAAATACCTCACTGGATGGACGGAAATGTGCGCCCACTGGGGACAAAAGGGGGCGTTGCTTGGGATCATGTAGCACCACCGGGTTCCTTAAGGGACGACAGCAGTCTGAACCCACAGGCCAGGTTTCAGGCTTTCACCTCCTAAGGAGCCTGCTGGTGTTGCATCATCCACAGCAACCCCCACTTTGTTCCCGGTGGGCGTGCAGGCCTCGCCGGCGATGGCCGGTTACCCACACTGGCCTCCTAGCACCGTGCTCTCTGGGCAAACCCCACTGCTGCTGCGGAGAGTCTGCAGGCAGCACGGCGAGGTCCCCCCTTCCCACGATGGTGCCATGTCCTCCCCTCCCTCAGAAGCAGCTTTCCCGGAGGGTCCCTACCTGACACGGCTGTGGAGGGGCTGCTGGGCTCCCCGTAGCCCACCTGGTTCACGGCCACCACGCGGAACTCATAGGTCACTCCTGGCCTGAGCCTGTCCAGGCTGACGGTGTAGGAGGTGGCACTCCGGGGAACGTCCTTCACAAACATGTCCCACAGACCTTCATCTGCAAGAGGCGTGAAGTGACAGCACAGGTTAGGGCTGCTTTCCCCAAACGGGAGCCCCTGCTCCTGGTCAGCTCGCGGGTCCGCACGCCGGGGCCTGTGGGTGAGCTGCACAGGGTTGGGGGCAGGAGCGGAATCCTCCCCCTCGTGATAAGGCTCTGCCAGGGCTGCAGGGGGTGGGGGGGCACTTCCCTGAGCATCCGCCTGGGGCTCCAGGCCCTCCCCTCTGCGCTCCGCCTGGACCCCACCTCTGGTAGAGGATCTCTGGCTCCCAGCTTGCTGGGGTTGCTGCCCGCTTGTGCCTCCCTGGCCCACCCACACGATGCCCACCCCAGCCCCCTGACGCCACTGCTGGGCCCACGGTGTGCCACCCCCATTCCAACTGGTAAATGACGATGCAAGAGCAAACTTTAAACAGCAGCTTCTTAGCCGGCTGCCAGATCTGCGGTGACGCTGTCACTTGTTCTCCGCACAGCCTTGGATGGTAGCCACAGTGCCCCCAACACTTTACATTATCTACACGTGGTGTTGTCAGGTGGCGGCTGGCACGGCTCCTGCCAGGGCCTCGCTCCCTCACCCCCAGGACCAAACTAGCCAAGTGCCGCCCTCAACCTGCAGGCCTTTTGCAATGGCTGCAGCGTCACAGCTTCTGAGACCAGCTCGGTTTTTAATCCATGCCCAGGTGCTACCAAGCACAAGTGTAAATTGAAGATATACATTGGATCTGAACAGCAGCACTGTTCACAGCAGCCAACAGGCGGGAGCAGCCCAGGGTGCACTGACGGGTGAGTGACAGCCCAATGGGGTCCAGCCATACCATGGAACGTTACTGAGCCTTAGAAAGGAAGGAATTCTGTCACCTGCTGCAGCACAGATGGACCCTGAGGGCACTGTGCTGATGAAATCAGCCAGTCACAAAGGACACACACTGTGTGACCCCACTGATACGAGGTCCTTAGAGGAGTGAAACTCCAGAGACAGGAAGTAGATGGTGGGTGCCCGGGGCTGGGGAAGGCGAGGGGGTTAGTGTTTCATGGGGACAGAGTGTCAGTTTGGGAAGGTGGAAAGTTCTGGAGACGACGGTGGTGATGGTGATGCAACAGTGTGAATGTGCCTAATGCCACTGAATTGTACAGTTAAAATGGTTAAATGGTACATCTTATGTTCTGTATATGCTACCACAATAAAAATATATATTGACTTTACTTAAATCCCAACATATAGGAGAACATTCAAATTGAAATTAAAGCCAGGAAATTTGGATGCAGAGAAAATGGAGGCAGCAAAAGGATTTGGTTCTGAGCATCTCCCAACGGGGCCGGAGGGGGTGTGCTCAGCAGCCTGTCATCAAGGCTTCAGACAGCATGCGCCCTGACTACAGGATGGCCTTGGTGCAAGGCCTGCCACACACACCAGCTGTGTGACCTCAGGCAGAGTGCTCAGCCTCTCTGTGCCTCGTCTGTGGAATGGTGGCAACAAAGGCACCTACACCCAGGTGTGCTGTGAGCATTAAACAAGTTCGTATTTATAAAGCGCTACAACTACGCTTCCCACACTGTGCCACACCACACGAGGGTTCATAAAACCAAATATAAACCCAGCCTGTAAGGAGGTTGTGGTAAAAAGAACCCCAGGATGTTCGCTTGAAGTAGTGACCCTTTGTGGATTATAATTACTCATTTAGGCACAGGTATGCACTGTTTTCAAATAGCCAGGGTCTCAGTGGGGGAAGCAGCTTGCAGATGCACGCTCACGAGCTGGCACTCCATAAGGAGCTGAGGTCACCTGGAAACCAACCTCATCACACACCTCCAAACACCAGATGCGAGCAAGGGGATTAGCCCAACCGTAAACAGAAAGAAAATTGCCAGTGTGTAAGTCTATATTTGCACAGGGTTTAGAGTTTGCGGCGATTAAGTCCTTACAGTCACAGGTTAATGAAGGAACGGACGTGGGTGAGATTTTAAAGGCACAAGTCTCTGTACTGGCAGAAAGGTAGTACCGTGAGTTCTTATTTCTAAATAGTCACATTTATACTCATTTCTCACCAGCACACCCTCTACCACTAATGATGTCAAGATGGCAAGCCACAGCTTAAGGCTTTCTCCCCTTTTAAAATACTGAGGACCACACACGGCATGTGTGTGACATATTCTGAATTTCGCATGAGCAGGGAATAACATTTTCTCCGCACATGCCGCTCCCTCTGCCTTGGGGCCCCGTGGTCCCTTCCTCCCATCCACACCCCCCCCCCCATCACCCCTGCTTTCCTTCACGAATGCTTAGGTAGCAGTCTTTGCTCAGACCCTGTTGCACCCATCAGGGGATCAGATGCGATTTCTGTTCTCAGTGAGCCTTTTATAGTCTACGGGCAGCGGGTGGGGGAAAATGAACAAGGTCCTGTCACCCCGTCAGACTCCTCTGACCTCACCCCTACATTCTTGGAAGAAGGGGCTGTGTCGCCCACTGGGCTTCCTGGGCACCAGCTCACACTTAACCTGTGTCTCACACCATGTGCCTCAAGAGTTCAATAAATATCTGTTGACATGATCCATCTCCCTTCCCTCCCTCCCATCCATCTATCTATCCATCTTTGCATCCCCATCCCTTCGCAGGGCCTCCACAAGCAAATAATAACCAGCACCATTTTATTTAACACTTACTATGAGCAAGTCACTGTTTTAAGGGCTTTAACTGTTGAATGAGTTGTGCAGTGTTTTCCTCTACAAAGACAGTTTTATGCTGTTAAAGAGACTAAAGAAAAAAAATACAGACCCTTAACCTGGATGTTGCTTAAACCCATTGGGATGAAGGGCTGAGGTGTGTGGGAGGCTCTCTGACTTCTTGGTCCATGTGCATCTCTGGCGGGTTCTCTGAATGTCTTTTTTGCATTAACGTTTCTGTAAAACCTTTCTGCTACCGAAGGAAAAAGGTTATTCCCCTTCCTCTACTGTCACCTGAAGGCCACATTTTATTTTAAGCCCTCTGTCATAGCTACAGGAATTGTGTGCATTTTTCATAAAAACATTTTAAAATATTGATACAGAGCCTCAACCCAGACTGATGTATTTAGCAATCCATTTACTCTGGAGAACGTCGGGGCACGGGAGTCATCCCATAGGTTTCCTTCTGAATTAACAGAAGGGAGTACTCACATTCTTATTCTGCTTAATTCTTCTGAAATGAGCACACGCAGCATCCCAGGCTTCACTATAGTTTGCGGGCTGTTTATCCATGCTGAGGTTTATACCACGGTCACGAGTGGGTAAGAGCGACGGCAGCTGTGAAAGAGCCCACCGCTCCCCTACCATGGGCTGTTCTTCTCATCTGTGTTACACCGTGAAGTGTCTCCACAGATCAGTGGTGGAGAAAAGTATCTCCACAAATTAGGGGAAATGTGACGTAACGAAACCATTAGCCATAGTGAGATTTACGCCAGGGTAACTCCCAGTGCTGGGGCTACCAGCTCAGTCAGCGCTCGAGAGGACAGCGGCCCCGTATGTTGTAAAAGGCGGTTCTGGGATCCCATCCAGCCAGCTCTCCAGCCCCAGGCGAGGCTCAGCCCTGCTGGGATGCTCAGGAGAGCTTACTCTGGCTTTCACTCCCCATTTAGGGAGTTCCTAAGTCATCGTCCTGACCCATGATTGGCTTAAAGAGAACAGTCATCATGTCTTCCACAACCACATGCCCGAATGGCTGACGCCCTGATGACCGAGGAGAAGCCCTGCTGGCATGAGGGCTCTGAACCTCCTGAGTGGTAATGGTGACCTTCAGACTGGGCCCTCCACTTGATGTCTACGGGAGAGGGCTCTGGGGTGGTGCTGGTGGGGTGAGCCCAGGCCTGTCTGCTCAGTCTGCCCTCCATTAATGGACACCTGAGACTTACTTACTGACACATAAGTTGGGAAAATGCCACGCAAAGTGCTGAGAAATAGTCCTAAGTAAATCACACTCTGACTGCACAGCTGAGACCATGCCAGCCTCAGAAGGAGGGCTGAGTGGGATCCCCCAACACAAGAGTGGCTCCTCAACTGGTTAGCTTTTCTTTGAAGACTATCATCTCTGTCTTTGCTGCCTTCATTGCAGAATTTGTACTAAAAAGAGGGAAGTGGCTTACTGAATACCCCAAGGAACGACGTCTTTTCCAGCCTGAACAGGTGTTTCTGTCCTAGATGTACTTGTTTCCAGCGACAGACAGAAAGGATGAGTCAGCTTTTCTTTCCGGGCCAGCCTCTCCCTGGGCCCAGTGGCAGGAGGCACACCTGTCCCCAGACAACCTGCTAAGAAAGCTGGGAACACGAGCACCTCTTTTCTGAATTGAGACTGAGTCCAGCTCAGGCACATCTGACTGTTTGTCGCTCAATTTATCCCTTGAGCGCCCAGAACTAGCTGGTGCTGTAGGTTTTAGGGCGGACGCGATGCCAGTACAGAGTCTGATTTTAAGGACAATTAAACAGGGTCTCCACGCTGAGTGAAACTGTCATTCATGGCCCGAAATTTCTGGTTCCACTAACTCACACAACCCACAACATGACTGTCAGCCTGCGGCTCTGAGCAAATGGAAGACTGTCAGCTGTTTGTCTTGTAAACGCTGCCGTTTCTCTTGGTACATAAATGGTCACCCTGGGTCAGAAATTTAACTGAAACAGGTGAGGCTGAAACATGAGGCTAAATAGATCTGATAAAACATTTACCTCTTATCTAATCCTTGTTTAAGGCAGGAGACAAAGTGAGATGAATGGCAAAACGCAAAGGATGGCCTGCGAGGGACCCTGAGCCCAGAAAGGAGCGGGAAGCAAGCTGACGGGCTGTCAACACATGTGGTTCCCAGAAAGACAGGACGTGAGGACAAGGCCGGGGGCGCCATCGGAGCTGCGGCTGCACCTCCGGCTGAGTGCCGACTTGGGCACTTCTGTGACCTCATACCTTCAGAAAAATACTGATTTTCTTCTTTGTTCAGCAGAAAAGTCTCCTGGCCCAAGACCCCAAATGGACGAGATGAGTGAGGAGAAGATGGGGAGGCTCCCAATCATGGATGAGGGCCTGCCCTCCATCTAAGCAGCTCTCACCTTTGGGGTGAGTACATTACTTGTGAGTCGGCTTGCATTGGGTACATTCAAATATGTACCTCAGAGCTGCTTCTGAGGGAAAATCTATTTATATCCTTAGTGTCATTCCAGTCTATTGTATCAATATGTAAATCAGGTTTCGGGAGCTATACGGGGACGTGCCCAGGTAACTTGTGTAAATAAATCATGTGCGCATGCCTGGTGTCCACCGCCTTCCCGGGAGCCTGGTGAGCCTGGTTCCGAGGAAGTGGACGAGTCTTCAGCAAGGTGGGGCTGTGGCGTCGCAGGTGGTGACCTTGGGCCCACCTCACAGAAGCCCTTCTCCGGGTGTCAGAGGAGGCTGCGGTTTAGCTCGCTGCTCATCAGCTGCTGTTCAGTTCTGTGTCTCTGCATTAGGGCAGCAGTGGGGTTCCTCGGTAGAATTTGCAGGGGCGGAAAAGAAGGCGCAGACAAGCAGGGGCGGCACTGCCACTTGCTGCAGGCTGCCCGAGCCCACTGGCCACCCTCCCAGCACCAGCCCCCAAGCGGGTGAGCTTCTAGGGCTAGATAGAGATTTGGGTAGGTGGGAAGACATCAGGCGAGCAGACAGCCTGGGGCCACCCCGGGGCCACCGCACCCAAAGTGGCTCAGTTTTACCAGACATCCAGCAGTGAGGGGACCCCTGCGTGGCTGCTGGGTGGCCCCCTATCAAAAATAACCCCTCCTGATGAAACACATGGCCCACATGCCAAAAGCAAGCTCCCTCAGAGAACCACCGCCCTGCCTGGAGGAAGTCTTGCAGGAGAGCTTCGGTGGGGAAAACGAGACGATAGGGTGGCTAATGTCTTGTGTAATGAGGCTTGTAACAGATGACAGCTGAGATCCAAAGCCGTAAGGCGCCCGCAAGGTGTGTAAATATTGACAACCCATAAAAGCATTTCATTTGACTCGAGTTGCCGCTGGCTTCAGTCACAGCAGGGTGGGTGACTTTCTCAACCTTCAGTGACAAAATGGTGCGTCCAGCGGGCTGAGTGGGTTTTGCCATTGATCTGGAAGGGTCATCGCTGGCAACCTGCTCTCAGATGCTGAGCGGCAAAATGGAAGTGAAAGCAAATTCTCTGGTGCTTATGGAAACAGACAGCTCTCCCAGGTCAGTTTCTTGTCACGTTTCAGTCCCTGTGGGTCAGTTTCTGCATCCTGGTACCGACCCCCAGCTCACACCTCCAGTGGGCTTCCTGTGGCTTCAGTCTGGCCACGGCCCTTGGGCGGGCGGGGGGGCTCTGTGTGAGAGGCGAGCTGCATCCCTGATCTTCACAGCCCCGCCCTAGCCCCCCAAAGCTGTGCTTCTCACCAACAGGAACCCCGTTTCCTTCCTTAAGGGGGTGGATGAGCATATGGTAACCTGAGGAGGAATTAAATGGCTCTCCAGGCAAGCCTGAGATCAATACCTATCATTTCTTGGAAAGTGCTGGAACGCCTTCACCAGTGTTAGGATTCTAAGCCCATGTGCCCGCGTGTGCCTGGTGATGTGCTCCGCTCCCTGCAGGCCGAGCTCCGACACGAAAATGCTTTCTGAGATGTATCGTGCCCCGGGCTGAACGGGCCGAGGAGGCCATCCATGGAATATGTATTTAATTTTCAGCTAAACTTTTAAATTTGAGATAATTGTAGATTCCATGCAGCTGTGGGAAATAAAACAGAGACCCCCTGTGTCCGTTCTCCAATGTCCCCCCATTGGTGACAGTGTGAGAAGCTACAGAACATTACAAGAGGGGAGCTGATAGCAGATAACAGAGCATTTGCGTCACCCCAGGGTCCCTCGCGTGGTCCTCGTATGAACACACATCCACCGGGAGTTTTAACTCTCTAGCCGGGAAGACACATTCGGATAGAAGGGGTGACTTGGCCAGGGCCTTTTGTGTGTCCCCTGATGCCAGGCTTCCCAATCTTTTCTTGGTGCCATGGACCCTCTGACAATCTGCTGACCTGGAAGGTTACCTTCTGAGAATGGTTTTTGACGCATAAAATAAAATTAGAAAGGACACCAGTTCTATTAGTGATGCTTACAGCTCTCAGAGGGAAGTGGAAGTCTGCAGTGATGTCTGTCTCCTGGTTATGCTGAAGGTGTGGGTTGTGCAGGGTTTTCTTTGCACCACGTGTTAAGCTATACGATTCTTGGAAGACGTGGTGGAAAGGGCTGGAATGAGCCTCGCCCCAGGGTGACTTTGGATAACAAGGTCTGCAGGAGTCTACAAAGACCGTGATTTCAGCACTGTGATGACTAGAAACGGTCTTGGGCAATACCTACCTATAGATGGCACGTGACAGGGGAGTAGCTGTGCTGTCTACTGCTGCCGATTTCACAGGTACCGCAATTGCTTTTGTAATGGATTGAATTGTGTCCCATCAAATCCTTATGTTCCAGGTCTAATCTCCAATGTCTTAGAATGTGACCTTCTTTGGATATAGGGTCTTTGTAGGTCATCGAGTTAAGATGAGGTCATTAGGTGGCCCTAGTGCAGTAGGACTGGTGTCCTTACACAAAGGGGCAAATGTGGACACAGCACCGGGAGAGGCCACGTAAGAGGAAGGCGTCTGGGTCATGCTTGTACAAGCCAAGGAACGCCAAGGATTGCCAGCAGTGCACAATGCCGGGGGAGGCCTGGGGCAGACTCCCTCACCCCCGCAGAAGGCACCCGCCTGCCCACACCTTGATCTCGGACTTCCAGCCTCCAGGGCTGTAGGACAATACATCTGTCATTTGGGCTACCTCGTGTGAGGTTCTCGGTTATGGCAGCCCTAGCAAACCGAAGTGCCTACAGTGTAAGTGAAGGAAATGCTAAATTTCAGGAAGAAGGCCGTGAAAATAAAAACGTATTTCTTCCCATCTAAGTTCACAGATCTGAATTCTATCGTGAGCCCCTTGGTGGCCCTGAAGAGTCAGCAAAGTGACCTCTGTGATCCATGCGTCCCCACGTCTGGGGAGAAAAGGAGCTGCTTCCCTCGGGCCTTTAGTCCCAGCTCTTGTTGATCTCCGAAAGTGCTCTCACATCACATGTCCTCAGCAGGCAGTCGGTTCGCTATTCTGGGGGCCATCTCCTTTAGGAGTACAGGGGGAACCCAGTGACCACAGAGGCCTCTGCTAAGCCCCGGCTGGTCACTGATTTGGGACCCCCTGTTTCCAGAAGAGGCCGAATGCTTTGTCAACAGAAACCCTCAGGGTCCCTCAGGCTGGCTAGCTGCATGTGAGTTCTGGAGACAAAGAATTTTTCACATCGCCTTTAAATAGACATTTTCTTTGGTCTTATGTCCTAGGCTCCTCCTTAGAAGTTTCTAGAAGGCTCTTATAACGAGTAATCTTGAAAATCAGTTTGGTGGGGGCGGAGGGGAAGTGTCCGGCACAGTGGTGTCTGTAAATTTTGGGACCTTTCCTCTTGGTCTAACAGCTCCTGACCATCAGACAGAGGTGACCCTGAGTGCTACCGTCCCTGGCAGCAGGGCGCATTGATTCACATTCTGGATGTGTCCCCAGCACGTCCTGCATTTTTGTGCTCAGATACTTGCGATCAGCTGTGCCACACCCGAGGGCCACAGTGGGCACAGTGGGAACAGAGATAAAGTTTTCACTTGGGCGTTCTCTGTATCTGGTGACAGCCCCTGGCACCAAGCAGTCATATCCAACTCAACCCATCCGAAACCCACTTCCACTAAGGTCCATTCTCAGTTAGCAAAGCTGCAAGGACAGAAGGGGTCAGCCTCTCAGGGCGGGTGGGGCAGGGAACGGATCTGAGGCCTCCGCTTCAGACGCCCGGAGATGGAGCAGACAGTGGGTGGGCTTCACCACTCCCAGGAATGCTCACAGTGGTCAGAAATGGTTGTGTCCTTTCCCAGGCCCCCAGGACAAGCCCCTGAAAACGCTCCTGGATCTTACTGATGGGTCAGCAACATCTTAAGTGTCCCTAAGCTCTGACGTACGTGTACCTGGGAACACTGATCATCTTCCTCGCGAGGTGTGATGAGGCCAGAAGGTCATGGCCGCTGCCTGTCAGGTTAACAGCACTGCTGTGATTATAGAAACCCGCTCAACCTCGGCGCCCCTAGGGAATGCTGAGAGCTCTGACACTCAGCCCCTCAGAAAAACCGCTTTCACTGGGCAGAGACCCGTTTCCGGGGCCCCGCCACCCTTACCTGACGGCCTGGCCTCTATGACGTAGCCTGTGGTGGGCGCCCTGCCGGCGTTCCCCTCGGTCCACTGCAGGGTCAGCTCAGAGGCGGATTTGGTGACTAAAACATCTCTAGGGGGACCTGGAGAGCCTGTGGGGTAAAACAGAAAAGAGGGTAGGCTTTGACTGTGGGGGGCTTCTCATCCCCCAGGCTGGGGCCCACGCTCTCTGGGTTTCTAGCTCTCCAGGTGGTTGGGCCACCCGTGCTCGGTGTTCCAACCTTTAAAGTGGGAGGCTAACATGGGCCTGGTGGGGCTGACCAGAAGATGGAAAGTGCCCAGCGCTCTGCCCAGGGCTGTGCCCGCACACAGTGGAAGCCTCGGTTCTGCCGCCCTCTACTTAGTATTTTTAAGGCCAAAACAGTTTGTCAGTGGGAAACTGTATGGCCCCTTCATGACATGTGAAAACTAACATTTCTTATGAGTCTTATTTTAAAAACTGAACTCACTTATTTCTCTTGCTAAGTGTGGACAGTCCCTACACGGCGACGCGACGTGTGAGGTGACAGCCTGAGTGGCAGTCGGCGCGGAGCTGCCTGGCGGCAGCGGCCACTCACCCTCAGCCGGCCCCGCCGTGACGTTGGCTCGCAGCTCGGGCCCGTAGGTGATGGTCCGCGCCTGGACGCGGAAGTAGTAGGTCACGCCTTTCGTGAGGTCGCGCACCTTCAGCCAGCGCTGCCAGGGCCCCTTCACGTCCACGGTCACCACCTTGCTCACCCCTAGACCGGCGAGAGCAGAGGCAAGAGGGGCTCGGTTTAGAGAGGAGGGCGCTGCGGTTCCGGGAAAGCCGCCATAGTTGGCTAAGGAAGAATTTCTTACAATTAGGAGGCGCTTAAGTGGTGATAATAGCCAATTTTCAGCACAGATAAGTGTAATTAGAGTTTAAGCTTGATAAGTGGGTGCTGACAAAGGCAAGAACCAAACTCAACAACAGTACGGGGGAGGCGGCACAGTCTCCATTCCCATCGGGAGGACGCGCTGCGCCCGGCCAGGGGACACTGCGGGCGGCCACGGTCCCTGTCTCTAGGTGGCCTCCTGATGACATTCTGGAGGGGTCCCGTCCCACTTGGCTCTGAAACGTACCAAGCCCGTGTCACTAGCACAGGTGACCTCAAGCTTCCTGAGTCATGGCGGGGAGGGGCATGGGAGAAGACGCAGGGAGACTTTCGTTGTGGTGAAAAGGGGGGCTCCCCCAGGAGGGGTCTCCGACCTGACTCGGCTGGCCAACCTGTGACCTAAAGGCCTCAAGCAACTCATGACAACTTTATCTGGAGACTTTGAAGCAAGGATGAAGAAAAATTGTCACTGCAAATATCGCTGCCTCAATTCAGAGAACAGAGATAAAGTTTTCACTTGTAAATGTGCAAACGGAGTGAAAGTGTTGCTAGTTCTATTAAGAATAATTAGGAAATTGAGATTTAACGGTCCAAGAGGAGGATATATGCTGAAAATTACACAAACGCAGAATTTTCCAGAAGGGAAGGTGTGGTTCTTTGGTTAAATACGTTTGAAAATGACGTGTTTTAATAAAAGCCACATAAGCTCTTGACTGCAGGTTTCTCATAGGACCCCACTGGGCATCTCCTGGAGGAGGACATGTGGGGGTGCGTTCCCGAGGACGTGAGGGGGTGCATTCCCCAGGCTTCTTCGCCAGCAGCACTCATTCAGAAGAGCTGTACCTTGTGTGGGCTGCTGCCCTGGGTCCAGCTGTGCCCCCACTGCATCCCACATACAGGGACGGCGCCTGTGGGTCAGCGGCGTGGTACCACCCCGACCTTTAATCCCTTTGACCACAGAAGAGCCCAACAAAATGCCTCTCACCATGAAATAGATCCATCCTCAAAGCCCCCAGTTCTCAGGTCTCCAAACTCCCTCCCACGGGATCACTGCTTTCCTGTTACGCCTTGTATGGAACACTGACTCCGCTAAGTTAGTCTCTTCTAAATTACTTCAGAGCAACACTGTCTGCTTTCTGAGCTCTTCCGTTGAGAAGCAGGACCACTTCTGCCCGGCGAGCCTGACCCTCACCTCACATCACTCAAGAAAGGGGTTTCAGGGATGGCGGTTGGCACACAGCAACCGTCACCAGAACAGACAGGGTCCTGTTGGATACAAAGTTATTCTGGATAGCAGTCTCTTTTTTGGCTAAAAAGTGCTCTCCTTCTCCCCAGGGCAGAGATACACCCATGTACCGATTTTGTGAATTTTACTCCACTAGGAGGTAGAGTGAGGCTGGTCCCCCCATCTCAGTTATGTCACAATCTTATTTATTTAGTCAATTTTTAAACCATGCCCTGCACCACAAAGCCTCAGGGTGCAATCACATAAAACACTACAGCTTAAAACACTTTAAAAAACATAAAAATGACTCTGCCACAAAATCAGCTTCCCAGGAACAATGCTCCCCGCTGCGACCATGGGCTGGTCAGGGCTGGGCCTGGGGTGCTGTCCTGATGGCGCGACCACAAGGTCCTTGCCCAGGATGAACGTGGTTCTTCATACCCTCGGCCTGGCCCGGAGCCAGCACGGGCCTCACCACTGCCCGGGTCCTGGACGACGAGGCACGAGGAAGGCCAGAAGGGTCACTCCCGGGGGACATCACTGTTTTCCAGGCTGTTCTTTTTACTATCTTTACCACACACACGTATGTGTATAAACATATAGTGTGACTTTGCCACCTTCACAAAAGAACCAGTGTCACTACAGAGTTAATATAATCTGGCCAAGAACAGACACCTGACATTTTCACTGCACCTGCAGTCACATCTCTGGACATGCATGGATTCTAGGAGGCATGTAGAGGTGTGAGAATTGTTCGGACAGCCGGGTATGACATTCATGGTTCCCTACTACAGATCCCGGACCCAGTGGTGAAGGGTGAGGGTGTGTTTCTCCAAGACCCCACTCAAAAGGCCTGCATGCAGATCGAACTGGCAGCCGCCTGACGGGGAGGGGCTACACCACCAAACAGCTTCTCTGGGTGAGAGGTGGCACCAGGGCCTCTGGGAAGAGATGGGCCCAGGAGTGCAGATGGCATCGCGAGGGCTGCATGAGCCGCCCATTTTCTCCTGCTCACCTCCCATAGCGCAACACACTCAATGCTAAAGCCGGGAAAGTCCAGGCTCAAAGAACCAGGGCTTCCTGACAGGCAGGTGATGTGGTGACAGACCCTCTGACTACTTGTGAAAAGACGCGAGAATGGTGGCGGCTGAAGTGACTCTGCCTGTTGTCTCTAGAGAATGAGTCCCACACACAGCCTGAGGCCAGGATGGGGAAACGCTGACAGCCGCTCCCGCCACCGCCGCCTCTGCTGCTCAGCGGCACATCTTTCAGAAACGCGCGCTCTGGGCACCTTTCCTCATCGCCTCGTGGTTTAGACCTCGGCTCTGCATCCAGGCCACCTGGGTTCGGATCCCACCCTCTCTAACGTTCTCAAACTACAGGCCCTGGGCACACGTCATAAGGGTTCTGAGCCCGATTGCTTTGTCTGCAAAATGTGAATAAACGTGGCCCCTGCACCGTGGGGCTGTGGTGAGGGTTGGAATGAATGCGTGGACGTGCCTTGCTTGTGGTAAGTGCCGGATGAACGCTGCCCACTATTGTTGGCACACCTGGTGGGGTCCTGTTTGCAGGGGGCAGAGAGCCACGTGTGGGCTGCACACGAGGGACGTGAGTCTGAAACGCAGTCCTCCGGATGGCACCAACATTGTTGTGAAATGGACAAGGGACCATAGCCCTGACGTCACGGGGAACCAGATGTTAGGGTCACCTCTGGGAGAGGAGGCAAGGGCAGGGGGGCTGCTGCACAAGCCGGGACAGTCCTAGGGGAGTGACGTGCAGAGGGGGCCACCATGGAGCACATCAGGCCCCCGCGTGTCCCACGGGGAATGGTCATGACGACAGTCTCGCCTGCAGAGTGAGTCCTTCCTAACAAGACGAGAAGCAGCCCAGGAGACAGGTCCGGAGGTGCACGACACACAAGTACTGCAAACTCACGACACAAGTACTAGCCGACAGAATAAGCCGCTCATTTAAGGAAGTGCGGGGGACGCACTGTCTGTGAGGAAGGGCCCCGTAGGTGACGGAATCATGGCTTCAGCAATCCTTTCTCATTTGAATGGTGTAGTTGGTTGATCTCCTGAAAGGGTGTCTGGGACATGGCCTCATGGAACGTGTGCGTGTGCGTATGTGTGTGTGTGTGTGCACGCACATGTGCGCATGTAAGAAATGCCAAGTGGAAGGTGTCCAGTAACTGCTGGCCCTTTCTTGCTGCTGGATCAGCAAGGACAGTGCATGTGCCCTCTGGGCCTCTGCTGCTGAGCCCTCCACCACAGCCATGCCCGGGCCACCTGGCCCCCAGGCAGGCGCTCGGTTCCGGAACGGACACGGCAGAGCACAGCTGCTGAGTCAGTGCTGGGGCCAGGCCCTCTGCCATTTACAAACTATACGTCACCTGCAGTGTTCTTCACCAATATGCAGCGATCGTCTGAGACACTTTTTTCCCCTCACGTTTTCACATCTCTGATTTGGGATGCAGCTTAGAACTGATGACAGAAGTACTGGGCCACAGTTTAGTGGAAGCATTTTTTCTTTCTTAGCACTTCATAAAATAACAATGCATCTTATAGTCAACGGCATCTCGGATTCGATGAAATGAAAACTAGTGCTTAAATTTTCTTCTTCAAATCAACTCCCCGTTTCGCTTGGCTGCACTTACTTTAAAAGGAAACTTCCATCATGGCTGTTAGTGAGAGTTGATACTTTCTGATGTGCTGGTTATATTTTCCCCTCTAGACATTCAATAACCTGTCATTTCTGCAGCCTGTCTGTATACGTTACCAGGGAAACCTGCCCTGGGTTTTTCTCCCTTCTCTGGTATCACTGTGCCTGGTCCACAGTGGGCGACAAAGAAATGCCCAGTTTGAACTCAGTCAACAGATCAGAAGTCATGCAGACAGGAAGGGTGGACATATAAGAAATGAACACAGTGCCAGAGCCGGGGACAGGGTAATACAGAAGGACGTGAGTACTTGTCCTGTGAATGACAGCAATGCTGCCCACTTCCCAGCCCCTGTCCCTCACTTCCCATCCAGTCCCTGCATATCCCATTGGCTCCACCCCCGAAACGCATCCCTAGTGGGGCCACTTCTCACTCCAGCTCCCCGGAGGGGCAGCAGCGCCCGCTGGTCTCCTTGGGCTCACGTAGCCCACGTCCCCCAAAGCCGTCTGCATTTCCTGTCCCATTCCCATCCCTTTTGCAGTTTTTGCTTTTGTCATTTCTCTTCTCAGCCTTTGTGTTTAAACATTTTTCTCTGCTCCTCTTGGAGGGTCTGTGTTTCCGATTGGTCCATGGGAGTTCGGGGGTAATCCGCATATTTCCCAGGCGGTGTTGAGCCAGAGGGTCCCTCACCATGACGTCACCTTGGCCCTGTGTGACTGGCCCGCACCCCCGCCTGCTCAGGGCCTGCGCACGGCTAACCCTCCGCAGGAAGCTCTTCCCTGGACTCCCTGCGTCTGGCCCCTCCTGTCATCCGGGCTCCTTGCTGTGCTCTGGTTACCCACCCTCCTCTTCAGAGCGCTGGGCTGAAACCAGAGCATTGGCTTGTTTAACTGGATGATGCGCCTCTCCTCACTGGATTCAGAGGGACTTTGACATACAGGGAAGGGCCTTGCTTTCTCGGATCCACAGGTTCCAGCATCCAGAACAGCACTTGGCACAGAACAGGGGCTTAATAATCACGCATCGAGCAAACAAATGAATGAGACGCAGGTGGGAACGGTGGGCCATCAGCGACTCCCCCCGGGGCCGATGGTATCTGATCGGCCAGCGTTGCTCCCTGTGGTCCCATCAAGTGGCCTCAGCCACATCCACGAGGACCAAAATCTCAGAACGAACGTGACAGTGGTGTCTTGGGAATTAGAGCCTGGGCCAAGGGGCACGCGCCTCCCAGGCTCGCAGGGGGCCGGGCTGGGCTGAGCACACAGCTCTGGTCCCAGCTCGGCTGCCACCCAGCAGGCCTCTCCGCCGGCTCCTGGCTCTGTACCTGTTGAGGGCTGTGCACCTATGATGTCTCCTCCTGTTACCCTCCGGACTTACCTTGCACAGGTGCTAAGGGCTCGTACACCACTCGGTAGCCCTGTAGGATGCCGTTCGCTGCCACCGGCTCCCCCCACGAGACATTAAGCGTGGTGGAGGTTATTTCTGAGAACGCCAAAAAGCTGGGGATCCCAGGAGCTGCAAGAACAGAACATAAAGGAACTCTGACTAAAGCTCTTTGTGGACCACCTACACACATGTCTCTGCTTCCGTGTGGAATAAACATGTCATTAGAAGCTGTTTTCAACTCAGTACCAGTCTGCCTGCCATCTGATGAAAAGGAGGTTTATTGATCATCTCTGAATGTCCTAGGATCAATCAGAAACTCAAGCTCCCCTGAGAAGAGCAGGGAGCACAAAGGAGCGGAGAGAGGCAATGACAAAAGCATAAGAGTGAATACTAGATGGAAACAGAAAGCATAAGGCAGGTTCCTCCATTTTCTAGCGCTGCTGGGGGATTCTGGAGGTGCTTGTCCTCGTCTGGGGAGAGGTGGGCTCTGGGATGGCCGCAGGCTCTGGCCCATGGGGCATGGAGGTCTCAGAGGACGCCCCCTTCCCGGCCCTTCCCTGAAACCCCACCTGGCACGCTGCTGTCTCACAGTGCCCTCGCTTGGTCTGGAGAGGGGGCGGCGCTAAGGAGCTGCCCGGAGCTGGAGAGCGTCACCGCCGACGCAGAAGGCCTGGTGTGCGGCCGAGCAGCACGGACCCTCCTCCTGCCGCCCTGCGTGCCTGGGCAACGTGGAGGCTGGGGCAGGAGTCGGGGCCCAGGAAACAGGGGCACCTACCGGCCTGATGGGTGCGCCCCTGCCTGGGGTCGCTCTTGGGCCCGTCCCCTGCGGCGTTGAAGGCGGAGATGCTGACCAGGTAGCGGGTGTGGCTGGTCAGGTTCTTCAGTCTCAGCACAGTGTCTGGCAGGAACAGCACCTTCATCTTCTCCGTCTCGTTCTGGCTGTCTGCCTCCCAGTAGTAAATCTGTTAGAAAGAGCAAGAGGTTGCAGGTGGGCCACGGGAAGGGTGCCCCCGCCCCCCGTCTGTTTCCAGCTGCCAGGATAGATGGGCCCGTGTGTGGAGCTGTGCTCTGGGAGGGGGCGGATGGGAACCTTCTCCCACAGAACCAGGGGGCAGGCAGTGAGGTCAGCACCAGCTGGATTCACATCCCAGGCAGCTAATGGGGTTTGGGGAGCTGGCGATTCGCATCTCTGGGTGTCCATGTAGGGCCTGAGCACTGCCGCAGTGAAGAAAACGCTGCTCAGGAGTGGGCCTGAGGACGGAAGTAACACCGCCCTTCTGCTCCCAGGAAAGTCCCCTTTCTCTTGCAGACCTACTCTGTTGGCACCTTCATGCATGGCCTCTGCCCCTTCCCCGGGCTTCTGGAGAGCAGGGAGACCACCATGTCCAAGCCTGCCCCAGCCTGCGGAAGGGCAGACCACAGCTTCCCCTGAGCTCCCAAATTTGGGTCAAGGCTGATGTCTAAGTCTTGGTGAATGTGGCTCGTTAAAACAAGGAGAATCAACATGGAGAAGAGCCGCGTTGGGCTCAGCACTGCTGGGACAGCCCCACGTTCCCCTGGGTCCCACTTCCTCTCACTGGGTTTTTATGTGCTCGCGGGTAAACTTATGTTCAGGACAAAGGTTTGCAGAAGTTGCCGGAACTGCTTCCCTGACCGCTGGCTGAGGACCATTGCCCCGAGCAGTGCCAGCCAGGCTGCCCGAGGACAACCCCGGTCCATGAACCCCCTCCGGCCGGGCCATCAGAGCAGCTCGTCCACACGTGACAGCAGCAGAGGCCGCGAGGCACCCAGGGCGCCCAGGCCGGCTTCCCTGCCTCTCACTCATGCGTGTGGCACACGCTGGCGCTGCCCTGCCGGGTGAGCGCGGCTTATTCCCATCTGTAAGCTGCCGTCCAGCTTCTGCCCTCTGAACTGACCAAGTGAGACCCTCTGCTCGAATCCTCCTCTCAATATCCAAGTTCAACGTCTGTGTCATTAAGGAAATTAGAAAACATATTCGGACATACATAAATGGCACCCTGCCCCCGAGCTCACGGGCCTTTCCATTACCTCATTAATCACCGTAACAGCCCTGCTATGGAGGAAGGTATTTATTTTCATAAAACACCTACAAAAATCATTTTTAAATGGACATTTAATTGGTCCAATAGTCATCAGGGCGGGTTGGCCCATAGAATCTGATGACAGATCAACTTGGGCTCTAACAGACCAGACAAGGACATTCATCCTGGTGAAGGATGGGGGAATTTTTGCAGAACAGCGCGGGGCTGTTTTCTCCAGGATCATTTTACTGGGTCTCACGGGCTTCTGAGCTTCTGCAGCTGCGATCTTAGAGACACAGGCAGCAAGGAGCTTCCTGCCCGCGGGGTACACCAACTCTGCAATTATCCACCACCTGATACCCGTATTGGTCCGGCCTGCTGCCTTTCTTTTATCCAATCTCTGGAATATTTAACCAATATGGAATCATAACATTTTAGTGTGGTGGTTCTCAAAGTGGGGTTCCTAGGAACCACACCTTGCCCCTGAGGAAACTTCTTAGAAATGCACATTGTTGGGCCCTACTCTGAACCTACTGAATCAAGAGATTCACGCAACGTCCAGTAAAGGCCAAGGTCAGAGCTGGGATAGAGAAACTGTTTTCTTCAGTGTGTTGTTTTACTGTCAGCAAAGTCTCTGGAGACTGCCAGAATGGGTGCGGGAGGAGGAAGACTCCCTGGCCAGGCCTGGTGGGAGGGGTCCCAGGCGCAGAGCAGCCGCACAGTGAACCAGGCCCCCTCCCCCAGGCCAAGAGGCGAGGCTGGGCTAGGCCCCTGCAGCCGCTCAGCACGGCCCATAGCTCTGCGGGGTGTCTGTGATGGGAACCGGAAGACCAAGCGCATCGAGAGCGGCAGCGTGGAGGGGCCTGGCCGCTACCTGGGGCTTCAGGCCCCTCGTCCTGGCACTCGGCGACCTGGAAGAAACAGCCAAACCGTGCGAGGGGGCCTTGCCTTGTAGCCCTGGACGTTCCCGTTCTGGCTCTCGGGCGGCGGCGGGTCCCAGGTGACCTCCAGCTGGCTGGCCGTGAGCGGGCTCACCTGGACGTTCTGCGGGGCCATGGCGGGGGCTGGGGAGAGAGCAGAGGGGCAGCTGAGGGGTCTGCTGGCACGCGCGGCTCCTGAGGCTGAGGCACACTGCCCTGGACCGCCCAGCTTGACGCCAGGGAACACCGCGAACCCTTCCCAGGATCAGGTTTGTAAATTCATAAAGTAAAATTGGAGAATTACAACGAAAACTGATGCTATGGAGATGCAGTTAGCAGGGTGTTTGAAAACAAAGGCACAATGCAGAGTTCTACGTGCTCCGTGATTGAGACACGAAGTTGGGCTGAGGAGCTGGTCTAATGACGGCTGTGACGCTGACATGGTGACGCGTGTAGGAGACTGAGGGAGACGCGATGTTTCAGATGGAGCGTGGGGAGAATGAAGGCATCTGCGTCCCCATCACAAGCTCAGGAGTCTGCAGACACAGGGTTGACCCTCCACGAGGGACGGGAACAGAGGCCTCACTAACTCCTGTTCCTCTGTGAGGCCCCAACTCCTTCCCTTCTACCGGGGACAGGGACACCATGGGGGCTGTGTTGGTGTCAGCAGGGCCACACTGCATGAAAAAGGCATCATGGCCGGTGCCTCCTCAGGCGCCGCTGGGAAGTGGGGAGTAACAGAGAGAACGCATGTGCACACTGCAGAACACTCCTCCACGCTGGGACTCGAGAAAGGCAGTCTGTGCTCTGCCTGCTGGGACCCCTCCCCCCTTTCTCCTGGACACTCCCTGTTGAAATCTGCTGAAATCATGGCAGTCCTGGGGGCCTGGCTGAAGGAAACAGAGCACCACCTGGGCCCCTCACCTTCTGCAGCCAGGCCTGCGGCCCAGGAGCGCTGCCTTTTGACTAGAGTCTGTTTACAGGCCATGAATGGAAACGATAAAGCAGTCACTATGGAGGGAGACAGCCCAGCACGCGGCTCTCAGGGAGGCCTCCCCCGGGGAGAATGACCTTCTCAGTCACACCCCTCCCGGCTTTCCACTCTCTCCCCCCAACGTAGAATAAAATAGTAATTAACACCCACTCAGCCTGACACCAACTATTTGTTTTGCTCTAACTGTGTGCTTCCCGTATTAAGGCTGCCCACCCCGCCGTGAATGGAAATGTTAATAACCCACACCAGGTTGTTGTGACAGATGCTCGGCCTCATTATCAGAAACTCTTATTTACCGCTCCATTAAACAACAGAATCACACAAAAAAACAATTCAATCAAAACTAACTGGAGGAATTTTAACAGCCACATTAATAATCCAAAACATAAATAAAGTTAATGTCTTTTGCATGTTTGCCATCGGCAAGTCTATCCAAAATTACTGTCGTACAATTAAAATGTGAAAGGCAAAATTGAGCACTGCCATTACCCTGGTAGTGGGTTAGAACCGGCTGTGCGTGGTCCCCCCCCCCACCCCCAAGTTCCCTTTGCAAAGGCGCTGCAGTAAGAGAAATGCGCTCCGGACGCGCATGTCCACGGGGGCCAGAGGCATCTGTGAGCTCCAGGAGCGCCCCCGGAATTCAGGGGCCATGTGCCTCGGCACTGCAGTTGGCATGTGCTGGGCAAAGTCCCCTGGCCCCGTCCTCCTGGTGGCTGAGCCACAAGCACTGCTGTCCCCAAGCTGTGATGCTTTGATGTACCCACCAGCTATCCTGCAGCACAGTGCTTTTTGCCATAAAAAACCTGCAGGTGACGACTTTTTCGATGATGACACAAGCAAGGAAGAGGAAAATATAAGTAAACATGAGGCTTCTATTTTTGGCTCCTGCAAGCTCTGGGTCTATGCCGGCAGGAGCCTGGACTTTCGGGGCGGCACCGCTGTGTACGACCCGGAACGAACCCTCGCCCGACGAAAGGCAGGTCTGGTTGGAAACCGACGGAGCACCTGATGAGCCATTATCTCTCACTCTCCCCTTAGCATTTGCGGTGTATGGAGAACGCAACATCAGATCAAAATGCTTTTTAAGATGCATGCAATTGTTTTTGACAAGCATGTTGGCCCAGCAATCGCTGGCATTTGCTGATATCCAGATTGCCTTCAAACAGCACTGAAAAGTGGAAGGCAAAGGCGAAGGTGCAAAGCGGATCCCTCGGGCATCTACTGTCAACGCTGACGGTGCTGTCACATGGCTGTTATGCCCAGTCCTCGGCGGGACCACTCCTGCCACCCTGGCCGGGGCGTCGCCATGTCCCCGGAGAGAGCTCGCCACGGCTGTGACAGAGAAGTGACGGGAGCTTCTAGAGGCTCCCTGCGCCTGACAGTGCTAGCGGAACTCCAGAGATTTCTGGAACCTTCTGGGATTCTGCAAAGTTGGATGCTGTGGCCTAGTCAGTGTGGGCAAGCCCCACACAGCAGTGAGGGCAGTGCTTTGTCCATGTCTCTGCGCCCTCTGGGCGGGTTCACTGTCCCTGCCGTGGCCATCACGCAGCAGCTGGGTCACTAAGCAGCCGTCGGAACATAACTGCCACCGGCTCAGTCTTACTTTGCTGCTGAGTGGAGGGCCCGCCATGGTCCAACTCCGTGTCCCGTCAGACCCCACGAACCTGGGGCCCTGAGCAGCAGCCCCTCTCTCACTAAGCATAAGACCCCCTGCTATGAGGTGAGGTAGCTGGACAGGCGCCAGCATGCTCGAACCATGGAAAGAAAAGGAAAACTCGTCCATAAAGACACCTGGTAAACAAGCAGGGGCTTGAGAGAGCGTGGGAAGCTTTCCGTGCTGCAGGCCTTGTTAACTCTGCAGTGACAGTGTGTGTTTGTTCATTCAGCGCGTCACTCGCTCGTTCAAAATACCCACTGGCCTCCATGGGAGGGTCGTCTGTCTGACCTGCAGACAGTCCCGCTCCTGAGGGAGCGCCGCACGCCTCCCCCATCCTAGGTTGGCCCATGGCAGGGGAGCGGCAGTGACATGAGGGCAGGAGTGGCGAGGGCCACTTCCCAGCAGGTGCTTCCAGAGGGTTCTGGGGTCCACTCCCTCCTCTCCCCACTACACAGGAGCAGTGGGTCCCACACGGGGCTGGGCCCTCAGTCTGTGTCTTAGGAAGGGGACAACAGGAAGCAGGAGAGACGCAGCTGACCTCGCAGGACAGGGAACATGAGGGACAAACACACGTCTGGTGTTTAAGCCACTGGGATCGGCGGTCACCTGCTGCCACAGCACGACTTTGCCGGAATTTTCCTGAGTATCACCCGGGGCCCAGGCTTTGGGCTGAGGGGCGGGTAGACATGAAGAAGTTAAACACAAGTTTAACAAGACAGAGAAATGACAATAATCACAGTTCAGGGTCGAATGTGAGGATGGGTTCAAAGGGCCAGGAGAGGTCATTTCTGGCTGGGGGACCTGGGGTACATCCGGGTGGCAGGCAAATGACGGGGAGAAGCAACATGTGACGATGCAGAGCCAGGGCCGTGCAGAGGCAGGGAGGGAAGGGGGGCGAGCAGGGTGTCCGTGGTCTCGCATCGCAGACGGGCGTCCTGTGGTCAGGGCTGCCCTAGGCCCCAGCGGGCACCCTGCACCGTGTCAGCGTTCCGTTTTCCCTTTTTGTAACCCGGTGACGACTTAATTGGGTAGAGCAAGTTTTTAACAAGTAAGCTGAGGATCATTGTTAATGTTTCAATATAATGAAATAAATATTTTTTATATGATTTTAAAAAAATTCTACATTCGTCAGTACACTTTAATTACATCAACATTCCTCTGGTCAAACACTTTCTGGTTTCCTGTTGAAGTAAACAGGAACTAGAATTCTCTAATGTGATTTACCTTCTCAGCAAACTTTGCCAGCACATCTGTTCGCCTAAGCAGGATACCTGGAGACAGACTCCGGCCTGGGTAATTACGTGGCCTCTGGGGCCTTCTCCACACATGCAGGAGGCATAAATGGATCAGAGAGCTTCGGCTCGGTAGGGCACAAGTCAGTGGGGAGACAGCCACGACTGACTCGGTGCAGGGAAGCAAGGAGGGGGCAGAATCTCAATAGCCGAGCCCGGGAACACACAGGCCTGGCTTCTGGGCCGGTGCTCAGCCCCCCGGACGAAAGGCATGTGAGTCACTGCCCTTCCGAACAGGACGTCCGACGCCCAGGCGCCCCAGACCGCCAGGCAGCCTCGAGCCCCGCTCAGGAGCCGGTGGTAGTATCTAGCTTGCCGGCTCCTGAAGTCCTAGCGACCCACCAGTGGGATGTGAACGACAGTGCTGATGACCATACTGAGGGTGCTTTCTTCATGCCGGGTAACCAGGTAACTCTCCCAAGCCCTTCTCTGGGCTCATGTGATCCTCACAACCCTGAGGTGGACACTGGTCATGGTCCCCATCACACAGACAGGAAGACTGAGGCCCAGAGACGTGAAGTAACCTGCCCAAGTTACTTAGCGAATGTGTGGTTTTTGACTCACACCCCAATCCAGCAGCCTGGCTCTGAGCAGAGCCCCCCTCCCAGCAGACTTCTGGGGCGGGCAGGGGCTTCAAGGCCACGGCCGTGGGTTCCTGGAGCAGCCTCCGACCACATCTCTCTCCCGCTGCTGACCTTTCCTTTGGGCTCCAAGCCCTCAGTTCCTTCTCTTACCACCTCACAGCTGAGCCAGAACCAGAAACGACTCTAAGGAAGCTTAACAAGAAAAATCAGGAAACTGGTCACAAAAACCATTTTCAAAAAAAAAAAAATCAATGCTTTGTGCTCCAGGCTATAGACGCTGTAGATGGGAGGTCTTGGGAAAGGCCCTAGACGGCGACTTTTAAGATCTGGGTTCAGCTAGTGGGACTTGGGACACTGTTCAATTTCTCTGAGCCTCAGCTGCATCGTTTGTAAGAGGCAAAAACACCAAGCTGAGGTTTCTGAGATGAAATGAGTTGTGGCAGAGCCAAGAGCAGACGCTCAAAGGGGCGAGTTCAGCGAGTCGGGGCCTCACTGGCCAGCAGGTCGCCCCGTGGGGTGGGTGGGCGCCGGGCCCAGGGGGCCTTGTCCCCGTGGAGCGTGTAAGGAGTTACATCGCCACATGCTGACAGGCTGCCTTATGAACTAAGAGCAGCAGA